CATGCTCACCCATTCCAAAGCCGGCATCACCCGCCCAAAACAAATCCTAAATCTCAACACCACCGTACCTATCTCCCCTTTACCCCCCACTTACCGTAGTGCTCTTAAAGATCCAAACTGGCATGCTGCTATGGTAGATGAATTTAATGCTTTGATTAAGAATGACACATGGGAACTAGTACCCCCCTCCCCCCACCAAAATATCATAACCGGAAAATGGCTTTTTCGACATAAACTTGGCCCTACATGTGAGTTATCCAGGTACAAAGCTCGATGGGTTGTTCGCGGTTTTAACCAGAGATTCGGTGTGGATTATGATGAGACGTTCAACCCGGTAATAAAACCGGCTACGGTTCGCATTGTGTTGAGTATAGCACTTTCTCAGGGATGGCCCATCCACCAGCTGGACGTCAAGAATGCTTTTCTTCACGGGTACCTACAGGAGACGGTCTACGCCACTCAGCCATCAGGATTTCAGGACCCGGCTAGGCCTCATCATGTCTCCAGGCTCAAGAAGGCCTTATATGGCCTCAAACAGGCTCCCAGATCGTGGTACCATCGTTTTGCAGGTTTCATTCAGACCATTGGGTTCCACAGTTGCAAAACGGACACGTCGCTGTTTGTGTTCACTAACGGGCCGGACACAGCTTATCTACTCCTCTATGTCGACGACATTGTTCTCACAGCATCATCTGATCATCTCCTACAGCACCTCACTCAGCGGCTTAAGGGGGAGTTTGCCATGACTGATATGGGGGATTTGCACTTTTTCTTGGGCATCAATGTCCATCGCACCCCCCGTGGACTTTTTCTTCATCAGACACAGTTCACTCATGACATTCTTGAACGTGCTTGGATGGTCACATGTCGCCCCATCTCCACCCCAGTTGACACTAAGTCGAAACTCTCTGCCACTGATGGGCCACCTGCCTCTGATCCTTCTCTCTATCGCTCCATTGTTGGGGCCTTGCAGTACCTCACATTCACACGACCAGATATCACTTATGCAGTGCAGCAGCTTTGCCTCCATCTTCATGCTCCACGAGAGGCGCACCTCACAGCTATGAAGCGGGTCCTACGCTACCTTCGTGGCACCGCCACTTTGGGCATCTCACTCACCCCCTCTCGGACGGACATACTACAGGCCTATTCAGATGCAGACTGGGCTGGCTGCCCAGATACCAGACGCTCCACATCTGGTTACTGTGTCTTCCTCGGTGATAATCTCGTCTCCTGGTCCTCCAAGCGACAAGCCACCACCTCCCGTTCCAGTGCCGAAGCTGAGTACCGTGTTGTCGCCAACGCTGTCGCTGAGGCCAGTTGGATTCGGAACCTACTTCTTGAGCTACGATATCCCTTGCAGCGTGCCACCCTTGTCTTTTGCGACAATGTCAGTGCTGTCTACCTCTCGACCAATCCAGTACAGCACCAGCGCACCAAACACGTTGAGGTAGACATTCACTTTGTTCGCGATAAGGTCGCACTGGGACATATCCGAGTACTTCATGTTCCATCCTCCTCTCAGTATGCCGATATATTCACTAAAGGACTCCCTTCAGTTCTCTTCCTGGATTTTCGCACAAGCCTGGGGATTCGTCCTCCACCGCAGCCGACGTAGCCGGGAGCATGTTAAACATATTTACCATATATATTTATGTTAAGTATATTTAATGTATTTATTATTGCATCATTGTATTATTAGTAGTTACCTTTTGTATAGGTTTCCTACTCATATTAGGAGTCCCGTCCTGTCTATATATACGGTTGTACTCCTACACATTTAATCATTGAAAATATTCATTCTTCACAAACC